ATTGGTATGTGATCTTATCAAGTGCGCATACGATATACAGTATTGGTATGTGATCATATCAAGTGCGCATACGATATACAGTATTGGTATGTGATAATATCAAGTGCGCATACGGTATGCAGTATTGGTATGTGATCATATCAAGTGCGCATACGATATACAGTATTGGAATGTGATCATATCAAGTGCGCATATGATATACAGTATTGGTATGTGACACTCTGATACACCATAAAGTTCTGAAGCTTTTATCATATATATAGCTGTCGAGGTACTAGGTTTAAGTTTGAAAATTGGTGTGAACAATATGCCTATACAAGAAATATATTGAAAACTGTTTTGCAGAAGAGAACAATGAGCAATCAATTTAAAAACAGTAATACTCCTTGCAGTTTGTTGGGCTAAGTATCGCAATTCCGGGACGATGGGAACCATGGAACCGTATACAAAATTTTAACGAACTATGCTTTCAATATTTTACAGCAAGGATTGAAAACAAATTAGAATGCTTTTATTTCCTTATTTTTTTATTTACCAGTGGTGTAGAAGCCGGTAAGAGTAAGTCTAAAAATAATGAAACTATAATAAATAATTTACTTACAAAACATTGCGACAGAATAAAATGAAAAACATACTAAAAAAGTTAAAATATAAAAAATATTCTTCGTTTGCACGTTACGTCATCGTGGCCATGTTGGTACCATTTAACAAAAGATTTCTCAATAGCATCCATTGTTAACGGTACCACAATGGCCGATATGTTTTTTGCCTTTTAACTCTCTTGGGAATGCTTGTAGCCCATCAATATTAACGCGACGTTTGGACGTGTGCTACAGCGTCCGTCATTCTTTTTTTTTTCTTTCTTTGCATTTTCTTTGCATTTTCATTTGCTTTTCTTTATACTGTTACATTTTTATTCACTTTTTGCTTGATAATGACGCCGTAGCACGTCGAAACGTCGCATTCATATATATTTTACATTTTTTAGTGTTTTACGTTTTATACTGTCAAAAAGATCTCTTAATTGTAATAAATACTTGTAATTGATAGTTGAATTTAAAGTTTCTTTGAGGTATCATTAAATAGTCTGTTAATGTTTCATCTACATATATTTAATATTTTCCGAGCTTTCTTAGATCCTAGATCCTTAGATCTCATAGATCTATCATTAGGGAATATGGTGCAAAAGTTGTTTAGTTTAAACTTGTTTTAAAGTTAGATTAAAAGTGCCCTTAATTTTGCGTGAGCTTTTTAGTTTACTGAAATTGTAGGAATGTTAATGTTATGTTAAAAGAGCATAAATAAAGAATTGAACAATAAGTTGTATCTTTGACCCGGGCCAGGTTGTATGAAAAGTGGACAGCGTTTTCCGACGGATAAATCATTATCCAGTGGTTAAGTCGATGCTGTTACCCAATGAATATAATTACTGATCTTATCAAAATCCATTGTTTTCAGTCTGCATTATCCCAACGAATGCATAGAGGAAAATCAGACATTCATTATTGGCTTTGTTTCTATGATAAACAAGCTAGAAAGAAAACAATTGGATTTTGATAAGAACAATAATTATACTAGATAATCACTTCGGCACGCAGCATTCGTAGGTACCCTCAGCTGCCTACATTATACCTACGAATGCTGCGTGCCTCAGTAATTATCCATTAAATATTCACTGGATGAAGAAATAAAAAACGCGCGCGCGTGCTGTGTGCATTTACAAAGCACACGGGGGTTGACAAAACACGAGAGAGTGCTTCTCGACACACTTCTCGAGTGTTCTGTCAATCCTCAAGTGCTTTATAACTCCACACAGCACAGCAAGCAAGTTTTTATTTCTTTCAAAAAATACAAACTACAGGAACGACGAAAATGGAAGTGTGCGCGTGTGCTGTGTGCTCTCATAAAGCACGCTCTCCCAACCAATCAGAGAGATTTAGAACAGATATTTTACAATAAGATTAAACCGTCGGATAGCGCTATCCTCCCTTCGTACAACTGGGCCCTGTAGTTCGGCAGGCCGCTTAATGCAGATTTTGCACGTATTATTATATTTTCCGAATTGTTTTGGAATCAATAGTAGAATCAATAAAATTAAGTAAAAACTGTGCTTTTGCTATATTGACTCCGTATCCATAATGCGTTCCATCGTAACTATGGACTCCTAAAGTCATATTAAAAAAGTCCAAAACATCAACACCCCTCGCTTCCATGAGTTTAGTCATTTGTTGATTATAAGCCATAATTCTTTGAATGCTTTGGGCGTTGCGGTAAGCCATTGGTTTAAGGTACCCTTGAGCGTGTACTGTGACCCAGACAATTCTAGGCCATTTTCGTTTGGCGACGATTCCCAAGATAGGCTCTACATACTTATTCATTACTTTCTGCGCGTTTAATCCATCGTGCATGCCGACACCAACAACAATGAATGATTTCGAACGATTATTCACAGTTTCTCTAACGATTTTCATCGCATCGTTTCGACGACGTATTGAATAAGACTCGTTAAAGTGAAAAAAAAAGTTTGTAGTTCCCTTGCAAAACTTCTCAGCATTAACATCGCGGTTACTTCTCGATAGCTTTTTGTTACACATAGATTTTCCTTGATCTACAAATTGTCTTTCTCCCTGGCAGCGCTTTCTTTCTTTTTCACTGAGGCCTTTTCTCATCGAACCCTCAAGAGGGTCATTAGTGAAAATCATCAACAAAGCAGCGTAAAAGTGCCTCATCAAAGAATCGCCAATGATCACCAAACTCGACAACCGGTTGACCAAACTACAAGCTTTTTCGCTGGTGTAGTTCCTCACGCGACAATTCTCGTATGGAGTCCATTCATGAAGTTCTGCTGAAACAATCTTTCTAAAATCTGTACACCCTGTACATGCGCAGTTGCTTGTGCCATTGCTACACCAGTTTGTAGCGTTACAGCAATAATTCCAACTGTTGCGTTCACACATTGACGGTAGCTTTGGGCCAAATGATGGTGCATGTATAGGATACAAGGTGCCACATCGCAAATCACTGCGGAATAAGTGATCAGGAAGACCTCGGTGTCTGCGAAGAAATACATCGTGAGATGCCCTGGCTTCTTGGTCTTCAGCAGTCAACCCTGGTTTTGGTCGCCAGTGACCAAAATTAATGGCTGTTTTAATGTTGCTGCAGTAGGTGGGGTTCTTCAGTATGGTATAATTCGCTTTCCAAGGTTTAAAATTGAAATGTTTTTCACCATTGTGTATTTCAAATACAACTAATGAACAACATACAGCGAGTAGCACAATAAAACATTGCAGACCCTTGCGGCAGCCTTTTCGTATCTGCTGAAGGAAAATTGAGACTTTCAGTAAAATCCAGCATTTAGTATTTTTACGACAAGTGAATATGATATATCCGGCACGCTCATTGGTCACAATTTACGTCATATGCTACAAGTGAATATAGCGCGCATGATTCTTTGGCCAATCACAGTTAATCTACTATTATTGCACGCCACTACTGTCCTGATAAAATGACCTTTATATTAAGTAGTATAAACATAATATTCGGTGCTTTCTTCATTATATTCGGCAAACACCACATTATATTCGGTGCTTGAACAAACGTATACTGAAAAGTTTAGGAAGTACACAAGTGAACGTAAAATTTGGATTTTTCCATACAGAGTTAGGCCTATGTCAAACGTCGGACTAACTTCTCACCGAACCTATTTACGTAGGTTCGGTTGAAGGTCGAACTAAGGCCCCGTCCACACGTATCCGGAAATTTTTGTATCCGCAATTTTTCTTTTTTTTTTTTTTTTTTTTTTTTTCCGGATACGAAAATGGTTAGCGTCCACACGCAGCTTTTTGGATCGTTTTCACTGTCCACACGTATCCGGAAATTTCTTGATCCGCCCTGATGCACGCTAGTGCCTAGTCTTTTTGACGGATGGTTTTCTTATTGAGCATGCGCAAAATCTTGTTTACGCCAGCGTATTCAAAAATTTGCGGATACGATCGTCCACACGTATCCGTATTCGGAGCGTATTCGAAAATGTCCACTCTGGAGAGTCCACACGTATCCGGAAATTTTTGTATCCGTATCCAGAAATTTTCGAAAACGGTCTCCAGAGTGGAAATTTTCGAATACGCTCCGAATACGGATACGTGTGGACGGTCGTATCAGTTCTCAATCTGCGAGCGGCACAAATCAACAAGGGAATGGAATGTAGCGCTCAATTGAGCAGACGTTTGTGGGTGGGAAGTTTTCAGACCGATACAAAATACGGCTGCTGTGGAGATTGGTTCTACTGATAGGCTAACAGAAAGAGTAAATATTTATTAAAATAAACTAAAAGGTTATCTCGTTATCAGGCGTATTCGGTCGCTAGTACGACGAAATATGACACTCCAAAAAACACAACAATACGCTGTTGGCTTCATGCTGCTTTTGTGGCTGTTGAAGAGGCCGAGGCTGTGACTGTTTTTAAAACTGATTGAGGGCTTGAGGGTCTGACTGGACGTGAGCTTGAGACATATGGCGTCCGCGACGTACAGTTAACTCTCGTTACACTGGCACCCTCGGGAACGTCACATCCGTCATTTCTTTGTCAGTCGTATTTTTCGCCGGGGAATTTGCTACTGTCCGCAATAGCTAGGTGAAGCCGAAGTGACGATATTGTGATTTTTTTTACTGACTCGCTCAGGAAATCTGAAACAGCCTCTGAAAAAAAACCCACTTATTTCACGTTTTTCGTCAGGAAAACGAAAACCCAACTGAGAACAATGAATCAGAGTTTGCAACGTCAAATCTGGACTTCTCGTAAAACCCGTCCGAGCGCATGGTTAATGGTACTTCTTAAAATCTATAGTCATAAAGTAGTTCATACCAAACAAAAAAGTAAAATAAAAAGACTATTTTAAAAGAACTTACCATATTTCCTTCAGTCTTTTTCGATTGCAAATCTCTTATAGCTAGGACCGGACGTTAACGCAGTACATCAATGATACGACAGGCGTATCCATAGCAATCCCCACAAATCACAGTAAGAACGATATGGATGGAGGTAACAAACAAAACATAATTTCTCGATCGCATCAACATAATTTATGAAAAACAAAAACAAAATGCCGTTATGAATGCCCGTTTCTCTCAATAGAATGGACTTTCGGAAGATAGGTTTAAGCTCATAGAGAAACAACGGAGCCATTAGATAGTTGGGCTAAAACGGTTCTTTAATTGGGATCTTTTGCCAATAAACGTCCTTAAGGCTAAGTCGATCTAGCCCTAATTTTAGCATTTTTTCTTACCATGGAAGTGATTGTAAAATCGTTTGCTGTATGCCCTTATATACTTATCATGTATAAATTCAATCATTTCTCATAATCAGGCTGTTCTTTCATATAATTTCGCTTTATTATGAATATTGAATTTTGACATTTTTACTTAAACCCCAAAATCTCTTGGAGACGGACCGGAAAAGGGAATGATTTCATATAGCTTATTAAAAAACTTGTTAAACGTCCACGGTCTCAGCCAATAAAATTCAAGTGGAATCGCGGAAGACAAACAAGTATCACTACAATAAATCCTTCAAATTGAATCAAATACTGTCAACCATACGATACAATACAATACTAGTTTATTCAGGACGCAAATAATCAGTAACATACAATAAAATATTAAGAGCGAAAACAAAAAACTAGCACTCGAGTTTGTTAACCAATCAGATTACGAATCGAAAACGATAGAATTCAAGTTACATGTATTGAAAGTCTATAAAAGCTATTCAAGGAGAKGAAATGATGAAAGAGAAAGAAAAAATAAAAATATATTTACACAAATAAAAAATAGAATAAAATAAACTCGTGCGTTCACGGCTAGAGTAGAACGTCAGTAGAAGGTTTGTAATTTGACTGGCGACACATCGTAATCAAAGGCTCAACACGGCCAAATACAAAATTTTGTGTTCGTCGTTTTCTTTTGATCTCATGATTAATGCTTTGGACATTAAAGTCGTTGTGAAGGTCTGGACAAGGGCGGATCCAGCCAAAATTTTAGGGGCTAGGGGCTAATTGAGTTTGGGGGGGGGGGCTAATTGAGTTTCTTCCGTCAACACAACGATAAATCTTATCCAGTGAATAAATTTATTGGATAACAGCATTGACTTATCCACGACAACCGGAGCCTTAAATCAAAACTCGTCCATTCAGACCTTTGTGTCAAGAGGGAAGTTAAGTTAGGGGTTTGTGGGAACTTATAAAATAAGTACAAGAAATTCTGTTTTTCTCCCCGAGAATGCTTTAGAAATGAAACTTTAATTGTTACTGCTTAGTTCATTGGCTCCGCTGTGCTTCGTGCTTCTCCTAACATTTCTTTCGTGTTCTGCCAAACACCCGCAAGCCTTATAACTGCAAACAGTACGCGCGCGTTGGTTTTATTGCATTTTGCTAACTAATCTTGAAATGGACTATATTCATATATAAAATAATAATGTCAGCAACTCATGCCGAAAACTCGTAAAGACAAACCTCAAGCAAATTTTAGGAAATATCGTTGTGATCTTTTGTTCAGTTCCAAATTTTCAGCTAATTGCTTCAATGAGTTTATCTGTCGCAATTAGCTTGTGATTTTAATTAGGTAAATGGCTTTAACTGCATTATTGTAAATTATGGCACTAAATAAAAAGATGAATTGAGTTGAGTTGAGTTTGGTACCCAACATGCTACACACTGTTTTAAAAACCTTCCCAACTTTTTAGTTAGAAATAGCAATGTAAATAGCTGTATACTAGTAATTACTTATTTTTATTCTTAAAAGAATTATTGGCTTTGCTTTGAAAATTGATTTTTAAGATTTTATTTTTGTTACTTTTTTTGGGGGGGGAGGTTGTTCTGGTTGTGTGTTTCTTTTTAGTATGGGTTTCCTGTGGTACAGTTCTTGTTCCCAGTCCTTTGTGTTGTTCTTTTCGATMCGTTGCCAAGGAAACCCATTACAGTTGGACTCAAAATGCCTTGAAAGGCTCTACTATCTTCAACATTTTCTAGCTTTTTTCTTTCAATTCTAATTATGTCTCGACAAGTTCCTTGGAGAAGAATATGTCCTGATGTAGTATGTCACCGTATTGAACAAGCAAATCAGGCTAGGATTTATTTGCTTCGAGAGACGGGCCCAACAGGGTTCTTGTTGAAGGAAGATGGCAACGACAAAAAATTCAAAGTGAGCCTCAAACTTTGTTTCAATCCGTACTAGTTTATGTATTTACCGGTAGCTAAACGAGATATAAGATTGCTAGTTACGTTTTTGTTTCTCGTTGTACAGAGCTAAGTTAAATAACGCTTTCCTATGTTAAATTTTTGAGTAAAATGAACGCAAGAATGTGTACAGTAAAACTATAATAAGTTACCTTTAGTTAGCTTTGCTGAACGTTTTCTCATGATTATTCACAGGTATTTCTTGGTGATCAACACTCTTGCACCTGTAGTACGTTTATGAAAGAGAGAGAGTTATGTATACATATCCTTTGGTAAGTTGCATTGAATTATTTCAGATTATTAAGACATTTATTTATACAAACTTGAAAAGGTCTGAAACTATGATGCTTTATTACTCATTCCTTTAATAGTATCTCCTATTCATGTGGGATAGAAGGAACACTGTCTACACCCTGTGTCATGCATATGCCATTTTTTTAAGCCAGGGCCCAGTTGTACGAAGAGTGAGTGAATAGTGCTATCCGACCAATAAATCTTATCCAGTGGATAAATTTATTGGATAACAGCATCGACTTATCCACTGGATAAGGATTTATCCATAGGATAGCGTTATCAACCCTTCGTACAATTGAGCCCAGTGCTGTAAGTCGTCGCATCATCACTGGCCAGAAGCATCGGCTCTATAGTAAAGTTTCAATATTCCATTGATTTTTTATTGGAGAGGAGCTGATGGGAGTGGCTTGGCAACTGATATGAGAAATCTGACACCTTCCCCTAATCCTCCTCCATTGTTGCATAAAAATACATTTATGGTACCTCCATTCATAGAGCTCTGTTCAATGTAAAAGTGATATATATTTTTATTGAACCTGCCCTTTGACTTAAATACTTTCATGTGGTCCCACCCACTCTCAAGCCTGTTTGTAACCCCACACCCACACCCCAAAAATCCCAGCAGCCCATGCTTCCCTGGTAAAAAATAAATGGTCCAGATGTCGTACCCAGAACACTGCACATGCTCGACTAAATAAACATGTGCAGTAAGAAATAAAGTCTCTGGGTATGAGATTGGAATGGCCTGTAATGTGCAATTCCAGAAATGATCCATACCCACCCCACAGAGGAATTTGGAATTTCCGAAGGGTGGGGGTCAGAGAAAGAACAAATATTACAGAGTTTGTATGGAAGAAAATTGGAATTTCTGGGGGTAGGAGGGGTATCTAAAAAAAATTCCTCTGTGGGGGGGGATGGATAATTTTTGGAACTGCACAATATGATTTTAACTTATTTTCTCACATATTGAGAAACTAAACTATTTTTGACATTTTCATTGAAGGGTGTTACTCAAGAAGTTTAGAGTGCCTAAAGAAAATGCAGGTAAACGTTTGTGTCATTATTCCTCAATATAGCTATTGTCTTAGTTTGCAGGATGATTCATAAAAAATAATATGTAAATTATCTTACCTTTCACCACTGTGTCATGGGCTCAATCCCTGATCTTGAGTAGAGTTTTTTCTAAATATCCTAATTGTTCCTCTTTGATGATTATGTAGTAATATTTCAGTTGTCCCTTGTGGAAAGGGAAATCAATGAAGTGATCCGTGGGGCATACCATCAATCCCATACCAGAAGAAAAGATGAAAGTCAGAACAATGTAAACCCATCTGATAATAGAAACAAACTGAAACAGAAAGAAATAACAGACGAAGACATCTGTCCTATTTGTCAAGATGAGCTATTGATGAAATCTGGGGAACCTCTTACTTACTGCAAGTAAGTATATTTATTTATGAAGTTTGATTCTACATTATAATATAGTTTTTGAGAATCAAGGATGGCATAATAGTAATAACTCTTGCCTCTCACCTCTGGGGTAGTGGTATACTCCCATATATGGACTATACGGGGATGATCTGCTGAACAGGGTATGGTTTTTCTTGTCATAAACAGGGTATGCAATTTCACCCAAGTTCCAAGTTCTTCCTGAGTTTCCTGTCATATTCAGGGTTTCTACTTTCGTATTGACCGAAACTGGTTATTATGGTCGTAAAAAAGTGATACGTGAGATGACATGATAATTGATGAAACAGGAACTAAGGGCAATAAATTATATCTTTTGTCATAAACACGGTGTACAAATTTGAGTTTTTTTGTCATAAACAGGGTACTCCTTTCAGAATCCCAGCGGAACACCCCTACCCAAATTCTGGTGGAGTTACTCCCCTCCCCCCTGGTTCAATTTACTCATTTTTTCTTGCACAGTTTTCTAAATTGTGACATCCCATACAGACAACCCAGCTGACCCGGCCAATGAGTTCTCATTAATTAGTTATGTTAAATATTATATGTTTGCATATACTGTATCTTATCAACGTTTTTTTTAAATCAAGGTATGGTTGTGGAAACAGTATTCATATTAAGTGCATGAAAGTCTGGGCAGAACATCAAAGATCTACAGGAGAAAAGATTATGAAGTGTCCTTTGTGTAGGGTGGATTTTGGCTCATTTCAGGTAATAATTAAGATGAAGACACTGTTAATTTTTTTATGCTTATGCTATGATATAAAAGCATTTTAACTAATATATTTTATTTCTTGGAGTGGTATGTTGACTTCAGTCTGAATGATTTACAGGAGATTCAAGATGAGTTCACCAAATCTTCTAGAAAGAAAACAAGATCTGAGCGACAAGATGTACACCTTGGCGCTACCTGCCATAAGTGCAAAATGTCTCCTATCTCAGGAAAATGCTACAGGTAACTATTGTTTGAAATTGATACGGTAGTTACGGAAAACAACCACATCCCAACAACAGACTAAGGGAATTGGAAATTCTGGAGTAGAGGGGGGAGGGGGGGTCAGAAAAAGAACAAAATAATAGAGTTTGTACGCAAGAAAATTGTAAGGTTCCTTGGGGTATAGGGGGGTCCTTTTTCAAATTCCCTCCATGGTGAGGGTATGATCTTTTTTGGAACTATACAATGGTATTTAACACAAACTATTAATGAGGTCATTTACATGAAAACACAAGTACAAACAATTCCTTTACTATTTTAATTTGCCTATTTTGTTTTATGGCCCTTGATTTCAATTGCCTATTCAGATTTTTCATGATGGTCTCTTTACTAGAGTGATTGCAGTAAACCTGTGAAATAATTAGTAGACTAAGGGAAAGTTCATTTAATATACCCGGGGGGGGGGGGGGGGGGGGGGTGGGGTAATTTATCATGCATACAAGGGGGCTCTCAATTTGAATTTCAAAATTTTTCATTTTTTGAGGTTAAATTTTCATCTCCCTTCTCCATATTAAATGAACTTTCCCTTGAGAAGGTAGTAGACATACATTATTGTTGTCTTTTGTGTTTATTAAACTGTTACACAATAGAATACTTGTAAACACTATAAGTGTGTAACATAAGCACCATTAAATACTACTACATTATGCTAATCCTATTGTTCTCTATTGTTTAATTAGCTCTATTTACTACTAAATAGTGCAAAGTGTTGCACACTTTTAGTGTTTGTACTCTAACATTCAAATTTTATTTCTCAGGTTTTTTGTAATCACTCTAGCTATCAGGAAAATGTACATGTAGATCAAGACACAAATGATATAGAGGATATTACATGGGCACGCGGAGATACGAATTTTATCTTCGAGTGTTGAAAAGATCTGTCGCGAGTGAGTGTAGCGAACGAGTGAGAGATTTTCAACACGAGAAGATAAAATTCCTATCTCCAAGTGCCCATGTAATATTCTGTTTATTATGTGATTATCAATGAAGTATGTTTTGGCTTTTTCAGTCACTTCTTTCCGTGTATTTTTGAATAGCCACCGCAATGGTGTTATTTTCACACGTGAAAATAACATGTTATTTTCACGTGTGAAGATATCAATTTTTCGAAGTAGAGAAAAATAGATATTTCATTGGTATATAATAACATTATTTCTTTAAACCCTGCATGATATGCATACTTTTAATACTTATTTCCATTTCAGATGTGCTGTTTGTATTGATTATCACCTGTGTCATCAGTGTTTTGCTTCAGATCATCACGTACAGCATTCCTTCCAGTTTAGACAGGTACGCCTACATCCTTTTTAATGCCCCTCAAGCAGGATGACGTTTTATACCCAGACATATCCAGAATCCCTTTCGGTAGCTTTTTTGTGATGCTAATAATCACTACACTATTGTCTTGGTATTCCTAAAATAGTTTTAAGATTTGAATATGAAAATATATTTTGAAAAGTATTGTGATAGTTAAGGTATAAAACGTCATTATGGTTAGGGTACATAGAGCTTTTAAGTTGTGACGTACTTTTTCAAAATCCGCTCTACTCTCTGCATACATATATATATATATATTTACGAGTATTTCTTTATTCTATAAAGAATTCCAGTCATCGATGGAGACCTGCTTCACGGGTTACTCCCCTCCCTAATGCAGTGATGGAAAATCTTCAGGCAAGAGAGATAACAGATGCAGATTACGACTTGCTTCTACAGCTGGACAGGTAGTTGCTGCGTAATTCGCCGGGATTTTTTGTCAGAAAAGAAAGGAAGGAAGGAAGGAAGGAAAGAAAGAAAGAAAGAAAGAGCCTAGTATATTTATATTTACTGGGTTGTTTGATTTCAGGGCTTTAGCAGATCACGAAGGCGTACCAGGTCACGTGTTAACCACCTTACCTGTCGAAGTCTTAAGAGATCGCCATCCTTTGATAACAAGTAACACCATCTGTCAAGTCTGCCTCAGTAGTTTTCAACCTTTTCACTGCGTTAGAAAGCTGGCCTGTCATCATGCGTTCCATCGTGATTGCATAGACAACTGGCTTACTAGCCACTCCACATGCCCCGTCGATGGAGGGACTGTTAATGCTGTCCTACCCAATCAGCGAGGAGGATCTAATGAAGTCAGGTCACCTTTGACAAGAAAGGATAGAAGTAATAGACAAGGACTGTTAGTCAAAAGAAGAGAAAGGGGCTCTACAGAAAACAGTCAGATTCCCAGAAGTTTACCCAGTGACTTTTCGTTAAGTGGTTTAGGCATTGTGGTGCGAGATAGAAGCAGGTACGTTCCGATGCTTTTCCTTCCTCATATCCATCCATCTGAGTTGGTCTTGTCCCCTAAAAGGAATTCTGGGTCAATTATTTTGGTTTAGCTTTTACGAGTAATTTTGAAGAAATAAAAATTTTATAATGGCTCGTAATTTTTTAAATGGGGGGCCCTCAATTTTTTTTAGTGGAACATGGAGGGCTTTAAAAATTCAAAAGGAGGATTGGGAGGATTTTTTTAATGATTGAAGGGTACTCGAAAAACTTGAATGCTATTAGATAGGGGTCTGGAAAAATTTTTAAATCAAAAAAATTTTCTCCACCCCCCCCCCCCCCCCCGACTTAAATAATGACTGGTCCCTAAGAGGTAAGACGAGAATCCTTGTCCTTTTCCAATCCCCCCCCCTCCCCGGGAAAATCTAATGGCTTAAAATTCGTCATTTTTGTTCCATAGGGAAAGCAGCCCAAGTGAGAAAATCCGTAACTCCAACCACATCGACTGCTCTCCTCCACAAAGTCTTCTTCTAAGAAACCAAAGCGTCCAAAGAGAGCATATCATTTTTGATCCTCTAAACGGTTCCAAACCCCCTATAGCACCGACCGGTAGCCGAGATAGGGGGGTACAACCACCTGTAGTACCGTCCAACATGGGGAGAGGAGCCAGAACTAGTTCATATAGTAGCAGCTCTAGTAAACGAAAAAACAGTATTGGCAATCAAGTGGCAGTGAGGAGATGTTCCTTGCCATTAGAACAAAAAACTAGTGTAAGTATTAATTAAATATGCCGTGGTATATTCCAGATACCTTTTATAGGGACACTTGGATGAAAATCAATAAAAGTTGGAAATGACTTGAAACTTGGTTAAACTTATCTATATGCCATGGCCCAGATAGTAGCCAAGCAACATGTTTCCTTCACAGTCAAAAGTGGCGGGGAAAAATTATCAATTTTATTTGGCATCTAAATTGTGAGTAAATGACGTCATTTACTCAACCCTATTGTTCTTATCACTTTTAACCCAAAATATCTCGACAGCGAGTGGCTCCCAGGCGAAAATTTTCACTAATCTGATTTTTATAATCGTAAAGTCATATTATCTTCAAATACTTTAATTATTCGGACTTTCAAAAATTTTGGTGTTTTCATCCAAGTGCCCCTTTAAGGCCATTCCAAAATACCTAAGTAAAAGATTTTTGATTGGGTTGCATCAAGAGAGAATATGAATAAAAGAGGCAAACTTCTTAATATCGCGTGCGCCATGTAAATTCTCGTTTGACCCCATTGTCGGATTTTTTAATTTTTCCTCTATAGTTAGGTATCATAAAGTACTTTCAAAAAGCGAAATAAAAAGGGGGAGGGGTGTCTCGACTTCGTTTTAGAGCTACACGAGATTAAAGACGTTTTTATGTGGTTTTGTTTATCAAAACATTGGAATGACGTCACCACGATGAGCGCGCGCTCACTAAATTTATGCGTGCAAAGCCCAAGAAGTTCCCCCCTCTCTTATTTATGCTCTCTTGGTTGCATATATATTTAATGTATCTTTTCAATCGAAACTTTTAGACATGAAAATATGCTCTTGGAATTGACAAAAAGCTTCAAAAGCTTCTATAGTCATTTACAGCCATTCTCAATCACTCGCGCCCTCTAGCGATTTTTTCTGTCGCGACGAAGAAGGTGTTTCACTAGGAGCAAATTTTGTTGAATTTTCTATTGGATTTGGAGATTCTATCCCCCACATAAACAAGCAGCGACGTCATAGTGAAATAGGGAAATAAACACATCGGACTGGAACACCGAAGACGTGGGTTCGATTCCCGACAAGGGTATTTGATATTTTTCTCTTATTCTCTCTGGGTTTTTTCCCACAGTCGTTAGAAGATTTATCCCTGAATGCTACTGGACTAGCGATGTGTATGGACCGTCCAGCAAAACAAAAAGTATCTAAACAAAAATCTGGACAGTTAATACGCGGGAAACTCTCCAGCGCTCCAAAATCCAAGAATTCAGGCGCCATGGTATTGAATAGTGAACCCTTGGTTGCATCAGGACTAGCAATTCATCTTCCATCGGCAGAAATAGCCGATCTTGCTGAAGTAGATAGTTGAACTATTCCGAAAGATCATGATTACAAAGAGTGTTCTTTCGACAAAAGCTACCGGATTTGGAAATCCTATTCTTGATCTAGTCCAGTAGATCTTTTTGAGATGCGCGAGCGCTGTCAAAAGTATCGCGTGCTAAGATTAAAAAACGAGGCATTTTTGGGCAAGACTATTGAGCGCGCTATACCAAACACATACAAAACCTGGAAAATTATGTTAACGACGTACGGAATAATTTGAAGTATCGTTTAGTTGGGGAGCAAGATAATAATTTTTGTGAGGGAAATAGCTCACTGGCTTTAGACAACAACTTTTCTTCAAGGGTTTTAGAAATCGCCTTTAACTCTTTGGTTTCCAATGCCCGAAAATGCTTCGTTTTGATGTCTGCGCCAGCGATATTTATGAGAGCCATCCGTCAACTCGGAAATCGTCTATTCTGCTATTTAATATTGAGAGAATTGTGTGTTCCAAAATAATATCGGTGAATTAAAAATCTAAATTGTAAATAARACTAAGGGAAAAAACCTTTTAAATACGCCTATTTCAATGAACGTTATAATTGCCAAAGACGATAGTCGATATAAGCAATAGGAAATAGGTCATTCCAATTCCAAGATTAGCTGGAATGACTTGTGTTTCTGCTTCTTATTCTCGTCAAGAACATGGACCTTGGTGTTGAGACTGATTCAATGTTCTTTGTATTCAACGAAACCATTTATATGTCGGAATGACCTATGGACTTATAAGACAACGTTTTTTGAAATAGGTGTATATCTTGAAACTTCAATGAAAGGGAAATAAATAGAATCTCCCTCAGTATTTGTAATAAAAATGAATAGAAAGCTAAACTATAAAAACGGAGATAAAAAACCCTTATAAAATTTACGCTTCTAACGCTACATTTTTTTATGTTCCAAACTAGAAGAGGTACAAAACCTTCACACGATTTTAGGATTTTCAAGTTTTGATTTATTAAACTAGGACCATACTTCCAGACATCGAGTGCTGAACCGTCGTATGGCAGCGCGAAGCATTTACGGCTACGCCGGAGATTTCGACCCCGACACCGCTATCCGGAGATTTACAGACTGATCAGGAAGCTCGGCCGAAGCCTAAGGGAGAGGTTAGTCGGCCCCTAGACCGTAGATGATTAACCCCTTGCTATGACCAGCATACTCAAAAATCTTGATTGTGACACTGATGGCTTTAAACGCATACTCACTCCTTTCCATGTGGGATGCGTATGGTAAAAGTGAACGTGCATCATAGTAAATATGATCTCTTTCAAAGTTTATGTGCTATGAAAACATTATTTGTGGATTTTTACTTTTATTAAACAAGGACCATACTTCCAGACATCGAGTGCTGAGCCGTCGTATGGCAGCGCGACGCATTTACTTTAGGTATGAGTATGACTCCGGGTATGCTCGTCCGAAATTTTCAAAAATACCCCTAAAAGTTTACGGAATTCCTTTAAAAAGGGCGTGGTTTGGACGTTTTTCTTACCCCTAAGAGAGTACCCTAAAAGATAATAATAATAATAATAATAATAATTATTATTATTATCTTCCAAGTTGGCTATGGCTCCTTTAGCTCCTTAAGAGGGCGTCTCTGTAACAGCGTGCCACTCGATCTGGGCTCGAAAAATAGATTTCTTTTATATTCCTACCATCGAAAGTACTATCTATCCTCACTACAAAATTGCAGTTAGAATTGTTCTAAATTCTTTTTTCCACCCGCTATGCGAATTTTTGTCCATCGACCCCAAATCAGTGAAAG